CAGCTCCAAACCTCCCCCCAGTTCTCTGTCTCAGTGCAGAAGCCAAAGTCCTTATCCGTGGTCTGTGAAGCCCTACATGATCCGTCCCTACCCCATTATTTCTTGACCCTCATGTTCTACTTCTTTTTGCATTATTTAACTCCATTCCAGTCATACTGGACTTCATAAGTTGAAAATCAAGATGTTAGTATGGCTGAACTCTATCTGGAGGCTCTGAAGAATCTGCTTCCAAGTTCATTTATCAGTTGTTACAGAATTCATTTCAATGTAGTTGTAGGACTGAGGTCTCCACTTTCTTCCAAGCTGTCAGTTGTGTGTGGGGGGGACACTCATACCTCTTAAAGGTACCTGTATTTCTTACCACATGGCTCCCTCCATCTTCAAGCCAACAATGGCACGTCAAATCTTCCTTTTGATTCTCCTCCCTAATGTCCTTTTCTGCTACCAGTTGAAGAAAAAATGCTTTCAAAGGTCTCAACTCATGTAATTAGAATTAGGTGCACCTGGATAATCTCCCTGGTTAGTAACATTAATGTACCTGTAAAATCCCTTTGGCCATGTCATGTAACAAAATCACAAGTGTGATTATATGCATAGTCCTAATATAGTGGTAAATATTCAGACTATTTAAGAAATTAGTCAGAATGTATGCCAAATGTACTACTGGGGCAGGGTCCTGGATGCTATCTGCCATTCCAGTTGTTACAGTTTACTTTCTGGATTGTGTAGAAGTCCAAGGATGTCCTGTAGGGTACAGCTATAGTGCCAGCTATTTACTAACTAATATGGAAATATTGCTAATATTTTAACAAATGGGTATCCATCTCAGTGCATAGTAGTTGGTTAACAGTCCTGGTTAGAGGATTAAAAATCATAGTGCAGTATATGAAATTCTGCCTTTTTCTCTATGCTTTGAGAAGCTGAGGCTGGCCTCAGATGACTGGGGCTAATTCAGTGATCACCTGCCCTCCTTGGCACTTCAGTGGTATACAACAGATATATCTAACTTGTCTACTATGTTTGCAGTGCCAGGTTTGTTTGGATGAATGTTCTTCATTTGCATGGCTGTCTTCTTTGGTGGGAGAGTCTATTCATCATTTCATCTTCCAAATGCTGCCACCCTAAGGGAGACAACCAATGCTATGTATTTGGGTTCTCCCCAATACATCTGGCAGCTTTGGCTCAGTGAGACATGTATTGTTTACTTATTGTCAGTGTTAGTGTAAACACTACACAGTAGGCAACAAAATCAAGAGTCCTTATTAACTTCCTGAATGAGACTTGATCACAGATTATCATGACCCCCATGCTTTGCAATGACCAAGCTCAGGCAACAAAGATGTCCCTGGTAGTTGGGTCAGAAGGTAGGAATAGGTTCTAAGAGAAATGAACTTTGTGGGACTATCCTATCTCTCCCTTCTAATATTTTGTAATGGCTGAATCTGATGGAAATGGAATCAAGAGTAGCTTTGCTTAATGTAACTTGTACATTCACACCGAGAGCAGTAGTGACAATGTGGTTGAATTGAAGTGTCACAGGCCAGATGGTAATAAGAAGCTTGAGGGATGAAGGGAAGGGTAAATCACTGTTCATTGAAAAATAATAATAACAAAGAGTATGGCCAGCTCCACCGGACAGAGGACAGGCCTGGAGTAATCCCTGCTTCACCATATCTTAAGGATAACTTTGGCAGAGAAATACAAATTGCTGCAGACCCTAGATCCACATCACTGCAGCTCTGAATCCTGCATGGAGCACTGATAAAGAGATCAACCCTTCACAGGATTGGTTTTGGCTGGTGATCTGAACCTCTGACCTAGAATGTACAGTGAATGGATTTCACAGTGAGGCATGCTGAGTCTTCACTTCATCAAATATGATGCCTTTTGAAGCAGTAGAAATTTGTCTTCAATGGTGATCCTTTGTGTAGTGCCTCGCCCTGTATCACTACTTAAGTAGAGAGGTTGCAAATGAAATCAAGTGTACTTGCTAGTGTTTATCATTTAAGCAGATCCAGGTGTTTCTGCAATCAGGCTGCATAATAGCAGCATCCCACTGGATCCATTTCCAAATAGTAAAAATACATGCCCAGGAAATCCCAAGGCAGCAAGTAATAATGCAGAATGGTTTGCCATGCCTCCCAATGTGTGACATGGTATGGAGCCCATTCAGGTCATCTACTCTAGGCTCCCTCCCTGGGGAGGGGAGCCAAGATATTTTTTTCAGATGAAGCGTAGGTGGTATGAAAACAAAATCAATTTCAAGCAGGTGGTGACAGAGAAGCTGGGGTTAATGATTCCCACCCTTCCTAGAAAATGTCTCTGAGCTCAGTGGGCCACCACAACCCTGTATAGGTGACAAAAATGTCTCTCCCTTTTCTACTGTCACTAGGAACAATCAACTAATGCCTGAGCGTGACTGTTGCCATCTTTGGCAGTGGTGAAGTATAGAATACCAGCCACAGGGGCAGAAAAATCAACCCCTAAGATCCTAAGATTCCATGCTTATCATCATCCCTTCTAGAGACTAGGAGGGAGCATAGATCACTTCAAAGTTCTTGGTCTAGTTGTGCTTTGAATGCGAGGGGGGAGGGGAGAGAGAGAGAGAGAGAGAGAGAGAGAGAGAGAGAGAGAGAAAGCAAGCAAACAAAAGTGAATTATATTCCACTTCAAGCAAAACAGAGCTAGGAAGGAACTTACAAGCCTGTCCTGTTCATCTATAAACATATAGACTCACAGAGGTTGCAAGAATATTAAAGACCATCAATTCCAATTTCTTCACATTTTGTATAAGAAAACAGAGTCCCAAGAAATAAAAGAAATTAAGCAAGATAACTCCATTATTAATGACAAAAGCAGGATTAGAGTCCTTGGCTTATAAACTCCTCATTTTTTCCATTATACTCCCATCCCTTTTCTAAGTGCCTAGGATCTAAACCATCCTAGTAGACATTTTATATACTATTTTTAAAAATTCTCTCCAGTAACAAAAGTTCTACAAATCTACCTGTGTTAGCTTTCTGATACTGTGATAAAATACCTGAGAAAATCAACTTCTAGAAAAGAAATCTTTATTTTGGACTGTAATTTCAGAGATTTAAATCCAAGGTACTTGGCTTTATTACTTTGGGCCAATGATAACACAGTATACATGGTGGGAGCACATGGCATAGGAGATCTGTTCACCTCATGGCAGCCAGGAAAAAAGAGACAAAGAGGAAGGGGCTAGGGTCCCATAATCCCCATCAACAGCATCCTTGCCAGTGACCTAACTTCTTTCCACTAGCCCCCACCTAGTAAATATTCTATCACCTCTCAATAGCACCATGAGCTGGGGATCAAGCCTTTAACACATAGGGATTTAGAGGACGTTTCAGATCAAAACCATAGCACCACCCGTGAGAATATTTTTCATTGTTATTTATAGTTAGAACTTCTAAATAACTCAAAAATCTTCTGCTGCAACATAGATCCATTTCTTTTTGGTTTTGTCCTTAGTGAAAATAGATCACAGATTTTCACTGTTACCAGTAATATTTAAGAAATGTGGACAATGTGTGTGTGGGGGGAAGAAGTATATATAGTGCATACATGTATACATATATGTATATGCAGCCAGTAATTTAAGCTTCTTTGCTTTAGGCTTTACTACACTGTGGTGGAACCAAATCTGAGAAACAGCATATAGGAAGGAACATAAGATCTTTGCATTGTATGCCTTCTGCACTGCAGCAAAAGCTTTCAGCAATGCATTGATCCACAAGGGTGATATAGCATCTTAATAGAAACTAGACATCCAAATTCAGTGATATTCAACTAAACTAAAGTTCACATAATCAGAACTTTTTTGCCAACACTCAATTTGTAGAAATAATAGGCAGATTATGAGAAAATAAACCAAGGTTAGCTATTTACTTTGGCATCCAAAACCAAGGTAGGGCCTGAACTGATCCTATATCCTCTACCCTCACCAGTTCTCATCTAGGATAATAAACACTGCTGATTGGAATGGTCATATGATAGTTCAAAAATTCAGTAATGAATGCCAGACAAGGACGTACATACCTAAAAACGTCAGCACTTGGGAGGCAGAGACCAGAGGATTATGAATTTGATGCCAGTCTGCCTCAAACCAAGGCATGTTGTAAGCACATGTGGAAATGTCACAATGAAACCTCCCTGTACAACTAATATATACTAACAAAAATATTTTAAAAAGAGATAAATAGTAAAATTGGCAATTAACTCTAAGAGTTTCTTATAGTGGAGTGCAATTACTCATCTATGCTTGCTCAAAAAGCCCCTCCATTTCTGAGAAGGTCATCCTTGTTAATAGAATTCTCAGTTTGGGGAGCAGGATGTTTGTATTTTTTTGTTTGTTGGTTTTGTGGATTTTTTTAACAGTACTGGGGTTTGAACTCAGGGCCTCACACTTGCTAGGCAGGTGCTCTACCATTTGAGCCACACCTTCATCCCTGTTTTATGTGTTGGGTATTTTCGAGATAGGGTCTTGTGAATGATTTCCCCAGTCTGGCTTCAAACCATGATCCTCCTGATCTCTGCCTCCTGAGTAGCCAGGATTACATGTGTGAGCTACTGTCACTCTGCAGATGTTTGCATTATTTTATATTCTACCTAGAAAATAAGATTAGCTGAATTCATCTTGAATTAGTGAGGTGTCAAATTGGGTAGGTAATTGTGCTCATATCCCTGAGTTTTCCTTACTAAGGCAAGAAAATGAACACAAAGATTAAAAATATTTTCAACCGATACCAAGAAATCATTACCAACAACAATGCAGTCTAGGTTACCAAGGTTCAATAGACTATGAGTTCAAACAGAATTGGCTTGGAAAGAAATAAGCCAATCTAACAACTGAGAAAACCAATGGACATTAATTGAGGCAGACCGACTCTTTCGTTGAGTTCACAATGAGCTCCATGGCAATGTGACCCATCCTGAAACCAAACTAAACACCCTTGTAAAACACAGCTACTCACGGCAATAAGCTGGTAGGAGTTGTTCATCATGGCAATCAGCATGTTCAGCAGCACTACCAGGGAGATGACATTGTATGTCCCAAACATGGTAGCACCCACAAACTCAGTGAACTCATGTCTGGCTTTCACATTGGTGACATAGAGATTTAAAAGGCCAAATACAGACCAGAAGAGTGACTGAAGGGTTTCAAAGAGCCTGAAAGAGATCAAAGAGCAGATTAGTTAGTTCCTTAAGAAGAGCAAGAAAAGAGGGCAAACATAAGGTAACCTGTGATTTGCAACAAGTATACTGATATGCACACAGGTTTTGGTCTCTTCCTTAACACAACTGATAAACAGGTCAGTTTATTCCTGTTTCTATGTCTTATGCTTTTTTCTTCTACCTGGAATACTATCTCTCTCTCCTCTCTGCCTAAACATAGCCTAAAAATTTTTCAGGGCTTATTTCAAGGACTACTTCCTCCACCAAACACTCTCATCTTCAGAAAATGTGATCTACTTCTTTTCTAATTGCATGGGGGCAGTAAATGCAGTGGTTAAGACTGTGGAATTGGTTTATATTGGGCTTGGTTGAAATCTTAGTTCCGATACTCGCTAGCTAAGTCAGAATGAAGGCAAGTGACTTTTTTTCTTTCCTTTTGGTGCTGAGGATGGAACCCAAGAGCCTCATAAATGCTACATGTGTGCTCTATCACTGACCTTACCCTAGCCACAACTCATCATTTCTGATATTTCTTGGCTGTCACAGGGCTCAGATAAGATGGTGCTCAGCCCAGTGAAGGAGTTTGAGAATTCTCAAATGAACGTTTTATATGTAATATTATTGAGCTGTTACTATATATAAGCATGTTAGGTACTTTTACAAACATTATCATTGTGATCCTTATAAAACTTTATTTTGTTACTGATGAGGAAACAGATTCAGAGATTGACTGACTTTCTCCACAACAGTCAACTAGTTAAGTGCTGAGCCAAAATTCAAAACCAGGTCTGGCTAACCTCCCAAAACTATTATTAGTCAAATTAAATGGTTTCACAAATTATTGCTTCCTGTCTTACTTTCCACACCCAAACATGTAACTTTGCAGTGATATGGTTTTGGTGTCTAAGGTTTATTTGGCCTCGAATTCAGAAATCTACATAGAGCAAATACAAGCAGCCAACAACTATATGGCACAGAATAGTCACTTCCCAAGCCCAAAGAAGAGGTCCAGAATACAAGAAATACTACTTTAAGAATGGATACACTTTTCAAATTGTGCCAAGTGTGTTGTTAATATTTTTTCTTTTTCCTTTTCTTTTTGTGTGTGCTGGGGATTGAACCCAGGGCTATGTAAGTGCTCTACCACTGAGCTACATTCCCAGTCCATAAAAGTGTTCTTAATAAGCCCAATGTATTTTGAGAAGGTTCAGGATTTGTTGTTGGGTTCATCTTGGAGGTAAGTAGCAAGTCCTCTGACTGGGAGAGTCTTTCTCCAGTTCTTTGCATGCCTATCTCTTTATCGTTACTAAGATCTTGGCTCAAGTGCCACTTCCTCAAAGAGGTTTTCTTGCTTGCTATACTTAAAGTAGCTCCATCAGTTATTCTCTATCCCATTGTCTTGTTTAATTTTTTGCAGCACTTAAAACTCCCTAAATTTATATTACACATTTTTGTTTAAATGTTTATTTTATATCTGTGTACCAAGACTGTATTTTATGTCCCTGTACTTAGACATTCAGTTACTATGTACCTAGCACATAATATTGGTACTCAATAATATTGGTTGAATAGATGAATGAATACATGTTAAATATTAAAGTTGAGAAGATTACATCATCAGGAGAAAAAATTCCAATCCCATTGACATTTGGACAGTTTGTAGGCTGCATAGCAGGGTTAGTTTATTTGTATGGAGGCCATGCTCTGCACTGGCCTGATGCTCAGGGAGCCTCCTTCAAGGCTACCTCAGAACATGCACATAGTCCTTTTCAACTTGTTAAATGACTGTTCTCTGATCAACATAGATAATGTCCAAGATCTTTTCAGCATCACATTGCTTGAGAGATAGCCTAGAAGGAAGAAATTTGCTTTTCTCTTTCTTTCTCTTTTTTGTGGTGCAGGGCACTTTACCACTAAGCTACATTCTCAGACCAATAAATTTGGTGTTTTTTTAAAGAAATTCTGATTTCATTTCTTTTTTGGTTATTTTACCTTATTTTTAACTGAGGCATAACAAATGTACAAATGTGCGGGGTACAATCTGAAGTCTTGATACATGTGTACACTATGTAATGATCACATCAGAGTAATTTGCACCATCATCACCTCAAGCATTTAACATTTCTTTGTGGTAAAACATTCAAAATTCTCTCTTTTATCCAGTTTGAAATCTATAGTACATTGTCCTTATCTATAGCACATTGTCCTTATCTATAGCCACCCTAGTGCACAGTAGAACATCAGAACTTCTTGCCCCTATCCAACTGCAACATTGTACCCATTGACCAACCTCTCCCCTTTCCCCTACTCCCTACTCTCCCCAGCCTCTGTTAACAACTATCCTATTCTTTACTTGTAGAAACTTGGTTTTTATGTGATGCAAGCAAATGCCAATTCATGAAGCATTTGAGAATCAACTGTAAGATGGCAATATGGAGTTTAGTGGCCAGGACATGAGAACCAGAAAATATGGTAAGTCAGACTTATCACAGCATCTGAATTTCCAGAAGGATCTACCAGTCCAGGCCAGGCAATGCAATGCATCCTAGAGCCTGGCAAAGTTTTAAAAGAAGGAAGATACAGAATTCAGAAATTTAGCCCTACTAGGATGATACAGCTAGGACCTGTTGGTGCCCTTTAGATACCAGAAGTCAGGTCAGGCAGAAGGCCAGCAATGGCACAAGCAACTAGCACAACAATTAGGTGGCAAAAACTAGGGGCAGCTGTGATTCAGGAAAGGCACAAAGCAGCTGCAGCGAATAGAAATGACACTCTGAAGCACCAGAAACCATGCAAGTTAAATGTACTCAAACATAGAAAGCATTAATAAATGCTTGTTGATTGCATGACAGACAGCAAGACCACATAAAGGAAAGTATGTCATCAATATGTTGGTAAGGGCTTAATGAATTGGTGCTTCTCCCAAATGGACAATAATTACATTCCTTCACTCCCCAAATTTGCAGTAACTAAAATTGCAATTTTAATGTTTGATGTAGACTTTACTGCTAATTCTTCTATTGACTGCTTCAGATTCCCTCAGAGTAACACTTTGGGCATTTAATATCTGCCCTCAGCTGCGGCAGTGGTCTACTTAGCAAGATCATATGAATGCAATTGTATAAGAGGGGGGAAAAGAGGGGTGATGGGAAAGATCGTTCCTCAGTTTTGGCAGTTTGTAATGAGAATGCACTCAGCATAGTCCTCAAAATGTCACAGTGTGATCTGGCCACGACATTATCTGGTCACCAGGAGAAGCTTCCCGGCTTAAAGGCATACTCAGGGGCCTGGCATGGTGGCACACACCTGTAATCCTAGCTACTCAGGAGGAAAAGATTGGAAGAATCACAGTTGGTAGCCAGCCCAGGCAAAAGTTAGCAAGACCGTCTCTCAAAAAAAAAAAAAAAAAAAAAAACAAGCTGAATGTGGTGCTACACATCTATAATCCCCAGCTGCTTGGGAGGTGTCCAAGTCCATCCCAGACAAAAATCATGAGAGATCCTATTCTGAAAAATAAACCTAAAGCAAAAAGCACTGGGGTACTTGTCTCAAGTGATGGAACTCCTGTCTAGTAAGTGCACCAGTATGACAAGAAAGAAAAGAGAAAGAAGGAAATAAGGAGGGAAGGAAGGGAAGGAAGAAAGGGAGGAAGGGAGGGACAGAGGGAAAGAAGAAGGGAAGAAAGAAAGAGAAAAGGAAAGAAAAGAAAGGCATGCTCAAGCAAAATGCGGTAATGGCAAGTGAGATGAACAAGACTGTTCTGATAAGACATCTGTAGGAAGCCACATCTTGTGGCTTCTAGACTTGAATTCACAGGAAAAGGACCACCATGGGGTTGGGGGGGCATTGCTTGGTGCATAATAAAATCATCACAGGGATGGAAAGAATTGTAGACCAAACTCTAGAATTCTAATACCAAAAGAATATTTTTCAATTTTAAAGGAGATTATTTTAGAAAAAATCACCAGCCTGTTTTTATTTAGCAGTGAGTAAGCAAACATGGAACTTGCTAGCTAAGAAGGGGTGCAGACTGAAGATACAAGAATTCCAGAAGTCTTGATATTAAATGTATAGAAGAAAAATCCATACCAGGTGGCTAAGGCACAATTTGCACATGTTGGGAGCCATCCATAAATAGGTCACAAAGCCAAAGGGGATACAGGAGAGAGAGATGGGAACTGCAGTCCTCTGGATATTTGGTGAAAGTCTCGTCTTTGAAATGAGGAAATAATCTTTCAAAGGAAGGAGTATGTGATGATTTGTCCCTCTGGATCTAATTCAGACCAGCAAAGAACTGGAGTGCGAACTGGAAGAGAAAGGCTGCTGCTTGGGAGAACACAGTGGCATCCATCTGTGTTCCACAAATTATCTTTTGATAGCCCAGATGGAGCAAAAGCATAGTTAGCCCTTTGTCCTCATCCTTATTTATTCTGAAGTTTTTCACTTTGCTATGCTTTTGACAAGATAGCAAAGCAGTCTCTGGAGAGACTGCTTCCACACTGCCTTCACCTAAAGCCTCTGCTTCTGTTCTGTTTCCCTTTCAGTCAAACTCTTGTTTCACTTTCCAGGCTTAGCTGAAGCCCCACCTTCTCTAGAATTCTGTTAGTTTTCCCTCCAAGATTGGGTTAGACACTACTCTTCTGTGTTCCCAGAGTACCCTAGTCTTATCCGATAGAGGTACAAAATACACTGTAGAGACTGTAGAGGGGAATGTCTAAAACTTAACTTTACACCCCTCCACCTATTAACTGTATGATTTTAGGAAAGTTATAGAATGTTTTTAAACTTCAAGTTTTCCTCATCCAAAACAAAATGGTTCCTGGGACAAAATACATTAATTACCAACATTTACTGTGCTGATTAATCTTGATTGTCAACTTGATTGGATTGCAAAGCAGCTAGGAGATTAGTAAAGCACACCTCTGGATGTATTTGTGAGGGTATTTTCAGAGGAGATTAGGTAAGAGAAAGCCTTCCCTGAATGTGGCCAGCACCATACAATAGGGTGGGGACCCAGATGGATCAAAAGGGGAAAGCCTGCACTTTCAGGCTTTCACTTGCTTCCTGGATGCCATGTTGTGAGCTGCTCTGCTCCACCATACCCTCTCCACCATGATGGACTAAAGCTTCTGAAACCATGAGCCAGAAACTAAAACCTTCCACTATTGTTTGTTAGGTACTTTGTCTCAGTGACAAAAAACTAACACGTTTACTATATACCAAGCATTATGATAAGTACTTTGCATATATTAAAATATTTTATTATAAGCCTATGAAGTAGCTACTTATTCTTTGATTGTTCATATTTGAAACTGAGGGACAGAGAGGTTGCACAGGCAGGAAATGTCAGAAGTAGGATTTGTACCCAACTCTTGACTCTGGAGCACCCACTCTGGAGCACCCACAGTCACTTTATCCCCTAAGATACTGCATATAGAGCACTCAGCACAGTGTTTGGCATATGATAAGTATGAAAGATAGCAGTTATTGGGGCTTGAGTGTAGTTCGGTGGTAGAGCACTTGCCTAGCATGTATGAGGCCCAGGGTTCAACCTCTACCACCACCACCACCAAAAAAAAAAAAAAAAGATGGCAGCTATTCTAATTGCTTACATGTGTTCTCTATTAGACTATAAAACTTGAGGATAAGGATTCCATCTTATTCAGTATCCACCTTGTTTGATACGTAGAGGAGTTGCTTAATAAATTTTTGTTGACTAAGTCTGTAGAAAATGATAGGAGAAACAAGTAACCAAGGAAAGTACAAATGAGTGGCATCATCTTATGACAACAGTTGCTGGAATGATATGGACTGAAATTGCGGGGGGGAAGTGGAGATAATCAATAATGACCTTTAAAACCTGTCAGAACACAAAGACAGCCTTCAATGGGGACTAAGTTTATATCCATATGACTAAGGTGAGACAGTATGATCTGAATGATGGGTGGTGAAATCACCCCTGACTAAGTAGAAGTAGTTGCAAATGAATGATCACTGTCTGGAAGGAGGTGGCAGTGGCCTGCTACGTGATGGTTCTGTCCTCTTTAGCTTTACATGTATATTGCAAATTTATGCAACAGATGATATATAACTTTACAAAACCAGTCTTATACCTGTATTATTCCTGGATAAAAGTGCAGAGTACAGTTTATATACCTGATTGGCTTACTGATTCTGCCACTTATCACTTATGCAACAGGGGAAGCCTAATTAACTCCTTTGGACTCTACTTTCCTCAGTTGTACAATGGGTAATCATAATAGTGTCTACCTCATGGTATGGTAGTGGGGATTAAATGCATTAATTCATGTAAACTTGATTTGTAGTAAGGCCTGGCCAGAGCACCCAGTAAATGTTAGTTATTTTTTATTACTGTTGTTGAGCTTTCCACATTGATGTTGTTGTTTTACATTCCTTTATAGATTGTTAACCATTTGCATATCTAGTTCTACCTAGTTGCAATCATAGGATACAACTGTGATTTTTTTAATTGCATATTTTGGATATAAACACCTTTTTGTGAATATGTGGGTTCTTCATTGATATCATTTTAGTAGCTGCCCAATACCCCACCCAGTGAAGACTAAGCTTGTCTGACAGTTTTATCAATGCTTTGGATGAGAATCAATGACATGCTTCATAGATTTTTCACATGACACAAGATTGGGAGGGATTGCTAATAAATTGGATGACAGGATCAAGATTCAGAAAGATTTCAACAGCTTGGAGCAATGGGCTGGAACTAACAAGTTGGAATACAGAAGGGATCAGTGTAGAGCTTTGCTTTCAGGCCAAATGCCCAAGTACAGGATGAGAACGATCAAAGAAAAGCCAAGGATTTTTGCTGATAGCAAGCTCAAACTGGATCAGCAGAGTGACAGAGCTGGATAGATATTGTCAGTCATCCTTGGGAGGCAGAAGCAAATTATCTACATTTAAGATAGGATCATTCTAGGCTCATCTATATTGTTACAAATGACTTGCATAAAACTGGTGAATCTGACAAAGGTTACTGGATTTATCAATGTTTATTTTCTGGTTATGATATTATACTATACTTAGACAAGATAAAGAATATTGGGTAAAGGGTTTACAGGTTTCTCTTTGTATTATTTCTTAACAATTGCATGTAAATATATAATTATCTCCAAATAAAAAGTTAAAAAAAACCACTATTATTATTGGTCTTCATCCTTTCACTCAGTTATTCAGTAGGCATTTTGAACACCTTTATGCCTTAGGCCCCTCTTTGGTAGGTCCAAAGATGACTAAGATGGGCGTTTCAATCTGGTGGGAGAGAGAAACACAAATGACTAAAATACAACAGCAGATTATGTATTGTAAGCCACATGTGCTGAGAATGCCATGGGAAACAGAACCTACAGCTCAGAGTGAGCACATACGGGTTTAGGATAAGGTAACACTTTAACACTTTGGTAGAAACTGGGAAGGCAGTTAGGATGGGCAGGCTGGGGCAGAATTTGCTAGGCTGACTAAGTGGGGATGGGCATTCCAGGCAGAGGGAGTGGTGTGTCATGTACAAAGGCCTGTAGGGCCAAGAAGGCCCGTAGGGCCAAGATGCTTTCATGTAGCTGGAGACCATAATTAGATGCTAACTACAGAGGAGTAAAAAGATGGAAAGGCCTGGTCCATAAGGCCCTGTGTGTTATGGTTAAGAGACTGCATTCATGGAGAAGATTCAGATACACTGGTGGGCATGAAGGTGACAGAATAAGACTGGTATTTAGAAAGAAACTTCCATGTAGCATATGGGAGATTGTTCACGGGACGGGGGTGAGGGCATGGGACATGACTGGAGGCAGGAAGACCAGTGATGAGGCTGTTGCAGTAGCTCTTGGGAGAGATAATTTAGGCCTGAACCAAAATAGTGGGGTGTGTGTGTGTGTGTGTGTGTGTGTGTGTGTGTGATAGATTCAATAGCTATTTATGAAGTTGAACTTACAGGGCTGAGTGAGACACTAGATGTTGCATGAGGAAAAAGCTAAGATCCAGGCTGGTGTCATTTACTGAGATTAGGACTGAAGGAGAATAAGATTGGGGGTGAAGATATGGAGATAAGGAATTTGGTTGTGGATATTTTGTGTTTGAGGGGCCTGTAGGACAGCCAGTTATGCTCAGAAGGAATCTGGAGATGAGGGTCTGGACCTCCAAAGAGAAATGCAGGACCAGCCTTAGCATCTTTCCATCTTTGTGCTTTTGCACTCACAAATTCAGTGCCCTGAGATTAATTCTCTGTGCAGCTCACAAAAGGCAGGAACTCCTAGCACATAGTACTGAACTCAAATCACCAACAATGTTGCCATGTGGTTTTCAGAAAGGACAATGAGTTCCCATTAAACTGTGTGGTCATGAAAAAAAGGACTTTTTTCCATTGTTATACAGAAGAATAGTGTTGGCATCTCAGGAGAACCATAAGGAAAAGGATGACAATAAACATGTACCAAACTTTTCACCAGATAAAAAACAAGCCCACTTTCCCCTTCTCTGAAAACTGAGTCTTTCTGATGCTCTGGCAGAGTAACATATATTTTTATAGGTATTATAAATGCCTAAGTTGAAGCATTTGAAAGTAAACATAAATCTGAGTCAGATTCTCAATGGAGAAAAAATCAATAGATGAGGGAAAGTTGAGATAATATTACCGCTGATTTGGCCCCCGCATGACAATGCTTCTTCATATGACACCTCAAGACATAATTCTGTGTATGGCAGGTGTGCATTCTTGGCAATTGTCCTTGCTAGACAAGTGTTGGAAGCAAAATGTCAGCTGGGAATAGGAGTGTTAACAATCACTGCAAACTTGCAAAGAGGCATCTCATAAACTTCCTCAGTAGAGTTCACATGAAAGGATAATTGACAATAACTCAGCCTCCTGGAAGTCACCTTGCATTCAGGTGTTCATTGCTGTTGAACACTTTGATGGGAACAAATGCAGTCTCCTGGTGTTCATGCCACTACAAAATTTCTCTTTATAGTGAAAAGAAATGGATGTGTGTCCAGTCTCCAGGGAAATAGAGGAGAGGGAGCAGTTGCTAGTCAAGAGGTACTAGCAAGGTGGTGATTTGCAATCCTTCACTCCCTGTTGGCTTAGCAAGACAGCACTATCTCTTGGCAATACATTTTGGTGGTTTTCTCTTTCCCATGAGTCTGGCTTTCCCATCTAAGATGCTGGCCTGAGTTCTGGGAGGAGAGATAGGGGTATTCCCTAGTGGATAGGAGAGTGCTCCAATGGGAATGGATTGAGCCAACATTTTCCAAATCAGTTCATTGGAGCATTATCATGGAGAGATCACTTGAGAGATAAGAAGGGGGAAGAGTGTCTGTAACCAATATATTTGGGAAGACCTCTTCCTACCTTGTTGATTCAATGTAGGGGATCCCACGGAGACCTGGATTGAAGACAAATTTTAATATTTGTCCCAACATTTCCAAAACACATTTCATCTCAGACTCTATTTTTATATCTATTAACATGTCACTGAACTGTGCTTTTTTGTAACCCATCTTAGGAAACCCTGCTAGAGGCAATAATAGGGGTAGGTTAGATACCATTGATATTTCCCTACTATTGCAACATTTGGTCAAGTAGAAGCCCTTTTGCCCCTGACCTTTTTTTTTTTTCAGACAGGGTCTCACTCTGTAGTGAAGGCTGTCCTCAAACTTGTGATCCTTTTGCTTCAACCTCCCAAGTGTGGAATTACAGGTGTGCGCCACCATATCTGAACTGGCCTTTGTTATTTAACACCTTTCTAGAATGTCTGAGTTCACTGAACTAACTTCTACAACTAAAGAAAAAATTCAATGGAATGCTATTTGATTATAATGATGAAATCCTGTCATTTGTGGCAATATAAATGAACTCAAAGGACATATATTAAGTAAAATGAGGAATCCAGACAAATTCTGCAGGATCTTACCCATATAGATCATCTAAAACAGTTGATTTCATAGAAGTTGAGAGTAGGATGCTGGTTACCAGAAGCTGGGAAAGTAGGGAGAGGGAGAGGAGAGGAATGGTTGGTCAACAGATATAAAGTTACACTTGGATAGGAGCAAAAAATTCTGATGCTCTATTGCATAGTGGGGTGATTGTGGATAAGGACAATGTACTATATATTTCAAACTGGCTAGAAGGAGGAATTTTAGAAATTTCAGCACAAAGAAATTATAAATGCTTGAGATAATTAAGATGTTAATTACCCGGATTTAATCATTACATAGTGCACACATGTATCAAAACTTTAGATTGTACCCTGCAAATTTCTACAATTATTATTTGCACAAATATGTGTTATAAACATAAAAAGAAAAAGCCTGAATCTTAGTTTAATGACTAGGAATTTTGCACGAACTTGGGTTCATTTCTGTGAATACCAGCAATGAGTTGTGTAAGTCCAGAATAGTGGTAAAAAATGGCAAGGTAGAGGATACTGAGTTTAGGGTCAGCCCAGGGCAGCTCCTAAACTAATTCCCTGATTTGTGCTTATTTTCCTTCTCTTCTGTTTGTCATAATAGTGGTTTTTCAGAAAGTAAAAGCCATTCTGGAGGCTAAAAGTCCCAAACAAGTAGGTTTTGAAAGTAGGATGAAAAGGTATAGGGGATCTTCCTCCAAAGGCAGTGGGCCCTGGTCTTTCTTTTGTATCTCAGGTGGGAGTAGG